TAAAAAGGGAAAGAAGAAGGAAGTCTCTTTTTTTCCTGTCTGTCATGCCATGTCAAGGAGGTCTTTCTCCTTTGTCGTGCCTTAAAGCCAGCTGACTATGTAAATGAAATCTCTACAAATTAATCTAAAATAAACATTTCCTCCTTTAACTTGTAGGTGTTGGGTATTTTGTGCCAGCAACAAGAAAGTATCTAAGATAGACCTCAACCCTTTCTTTCTTTTCTTTGCTTCGTAATTGCCATAATGTGAGCCATGTCCTCCTGTGATGGTACTGCTTTACTACAAGCTTAAAAGCAGTGAGGCAAAGTGACTGTGGTCTAAAATCTCTGAAATGATGAGTTAAAATAAACATTGTACCTTATTAATTTGATTATTTTCCATTTATTACAGTAATGGAAAGTTGACTAGTACAAACTTTATTTATGTTTTAATATGAGAAATGTTTACTAACCTGAAAATATAAATACATAGTTTTAAGCTTGTTTCCTTTACAAAATTCCCAGTACCTACACAATCTAAGGGACAAATAATTGCTCATATAAAATTAAAATGTCTTAATACAGACAGCAAAGAATAATACCAAAGTTTTGACTGAAAGGATAAAGATATGGATCAAATTATAAATCCCAAAAGAAATATGTTGAAGTCTTAATCCCCAATTACACAGAATAGGACTTCATTTAGAAATAAAGACACTGCATTCATACTTGGGAGATGATAACATTGGACTAGGGTGGGCTTTTAATCTAATATGACTGATAATTTTATAAATGGACAGAGACACAGAAAGAACATGACCATGTGGAGATACAGGCACAAGAAGGCACCAGTGAAGATAGAGGCAAAATTAGGGTGACATGTCTAAAAGTCAGGAAATGCCTGGTACTACCAGAAGCTAGAAGAGGCAAAGAAGGAAAGTTCTCTAACGACTGAGGAAGGGGAGAATAGCTCCGCCAATACTTTGATCTTGGACTTCTGGCTTCCAGAGCTGTGAGATAAGTTTCTGCCTTTTAAATGACCTCATTCATATACTTTGTTATAAAAGCTCTAGAGAATGAATGGAAATAAAAAATAAATCTATTTCTTCTTCTAAAACACAGGTTAATATATCTCTAGCTCCTTTAGGGAACTGGACTTTGAGAAATTTCTTTTACATTATCAGAATCGTGATATTGTCATTTAAAGTTTGCCTTTCTGCTTCTGTGACTGGCTTATAGCTTCTTTTTGTTCTACTGCAAGAAGCATTCAGTTCCTCCCATCTGTCCTATTTGCATTGCCTTTTCCCTTTGTGAAAGTTTGCCCAATCTTTCCCCGCTTTTCCCTAACCTTACATAGCACCATATCTTGTGCCTCACATGGCCATTTTCTCTCACACCACACTTCTATGCCTGAAGTTATCTAAGTCTATGGCATCTTTCCTAAGAGGCAAGCCATTGGGTGGAAGGGTTAAGCCTTTTAGATCTTAATGTTTTACATTGCACTTAAGACAGTGCCTTGCATTTAGTAAGTGTTGGGTAAATATTTAAATATTGGCTGAAAAATTTTATGACAGTTTATGTACTGGAGATGTCCCAAAGCAACACTTACAAGTATGTTTGGATTGGAAGATTACTCTTTACTACTGGTGTCCTTGCTTTACCTGTCCTGGCTACACTGCAATCTATGTGAATAGAGCCCCCTGGAGCTTTGTAATGAAGCATCCCCTCTCAGTACTCAGACCTCTCATGATGATGAAGCTATAGCCTTCATTCCACGCCCTTAAAGTATGAGGCCCAGGAGAGAAGTAAAACAGAATGATGAGGAGCATAGCTTTGGTGCCAGATATCTTGGGCTCTGCGTTGGTGTGCTAGAATCTCCCATCAAAAAGGCCTACTGAGAGTGCTGCTTTGGATCCTCAAAAGTATTCATGGCAGGCCACATCTCCCTGCACTCAGGCAGTTACCACGTACCACGGTGGTACTGAAGTAGGCCACTTATGCCTAATCCAAACATCTTCCATTTATCAGCCTCCCTGTCCGTATACCTGGCTGGGACGTGCTCTGTACAGAAAACTGAGGCTCTTCCACTTGAGTACTTCCCTCCGGCCCTTCTTTTGCAAATGTCTCACCTGCGTTTCAGTGTAAAGCATTTCTCTGGCCACCTCTTCCGTTTCTGCCTCTTTGTACTCTACAGGTGTCGCTCCCCATAAATCTCATGCATTTAACGCCGCCTCGGTTCTGGGTTCTCAGAGGACACAGGTTCAAATTGTAGTTATTTTATTTTTAATCATGGGCTAAAGTATGACATGAGAAAAATACTTATACGCTTCTTTCCTGGCAGTTTCCTCACTTGCAAAACTAGGCAAAGGATAGCGCCTGCTTTGTACGGCTGCCGTGAAGAGCGAATGTAGGCCTACGTGTGAAGCGCTCAGAATGGCGCTTGCAAATGGAACACCCTGTATGAGCTGCGGCGAATGCTTCAATAAATGGAGAAAAAAGTAAAAACAGGTCTGATTCATGAGTCCAGTAACACAAAATGTAGTGCTCATTCAAAAATAGGATCCAAAACAAAGCATTCTCATCAAGACTTTTATATTGGCATCATAGAGCAGTGCCTGAATACATATTTGACCAATGAACAATGAATGTTAATTTACTGTTAGAAGTAAGTATTACTATTACTTTAATTGTCGATGAAAACATTCCTAACTCTGTTTTGTGGTTGACATTAATTCTCCACTCTCCATGATGGATATTGGTACATTTTTCACCTCTAGATTGGCCTGAATTATTGTAGGATAAACTCCTGAGTTCTTAAACATTCCACTGTATTTTTTAAAAAAGAAAAATTATATTGAAGTCAAATATGTTGCTTGTGCTTCTACTCATGTTTTTTTAAAAAAAAAAAAAATTCCTTACCCTTTGGTGAAAAGGAATTGTTCTCATTGTGTTTATGAGAGTTAGGAAAAGTATGTCTCTGTTCATTCCCCTTTTTTCTAGACTAAACATTCCCTGTTCTCCTAATGCTTTCTTTTTGATCCTCTTTTCCAAATTATTTGTTGCTTTTATTCTCTTTCCCTGAATGTTCTCCAGAGTTCCAAAACAAAAAAGAAAGAGAGAAAGAAAAAGTTCCTCAAAAGAAAGTTTTAGTGACTGAGAATGGAAGCAAGAAGAACTTTGTCTTTCCTCTCAAGGACTATGATTAATGAAACCCAAAAAATGCAGTTTCTTCTTTTAATTTATATCTTCACTTTATTTGAGAGCAAGCCATAGACTAATAAGGAATTGGGTGAAGTGGACTGCTTTTGTGTCTGAGAGTGGTGTAAAAGAAATTCAGCAAGAAGAGTCTATTGTTAACTGGAAAAAAAAATGCAGTTTTTAATTACTAAGTAGCTAATCTTCAAGGCTTAGTAATATTAATTTGTACATCACCTTCTGGTAACCATATAACTGATAAAAAATTTTAAGGGTCAGATATAAATCAAAACAAGCTCTATAAAAAACATGCTCCAAAGATTTTTTTTTTATTTTTAAAATAAAAGGAAAACATTAACAGACAGACAACCTTTTACAAAATATCAAAAGAACAGGACAGACAATACAGAGTTACCAACAAAGTGGTAGGAAATTAACAATGCTTTTTGTATCACATATTGATATCTTCAAAGTGGTTTCTCATGAAAACAGATAGATACATGCAATATTGATCAATCAAGGACTCACTGACAGTTTATTTCAGCAAAGAAATAGAAGACAGTAGAACAGCTATGTTAACTGTCCTGTATATACATACATACAAAATTTCTCCTTCTTTCCCTTCTCTTTTCCCACATCCCAGTTGCCCTTTACCCTTGAGTGCTTTCCTATCATTTCACAATGTCTATCATACCTCCTAGTTTAAATTAACTCTTTCAGGTTTTACACTAGTGAAACAATGTGGTGCTTGCACATGCAGGTCTGATTTATTTCACTTATGAGTATGGTCTCTAGTTGGGACCATTTACTTATGAAGGCCTCGAATTTATCTTTCTCTATAGCTGAGTAGGTTTATTTAAAAACAGACAAGCAAGGTCTCAGGCTGTAGCTCACTGTGGGGCAAATGCTTGGCCTGGGTAAAGCCCTGGATTCATTCCCCTGCAGCACCAGAAAAGCTAAAACACAAACAAACAAAACCCACCCGTTAAACCTGGTGTTGTGCTCCATAGCGCATCCTTTCTGGCAGCAAAATTATGTTCTGTGATGTCAACATAAAAGCTGTGATTGGAATGTTTTATTTTAGACCCTGCTTTTAAAAGAGCGCTACTTTCTGTTTTACTGGAACTTATGAGTCAGATCTATTTTTATTTTTTCTCCATTCATTAGAAACCTAGCTTTCATGGCCACCAGGTTCTGATGTGTAGCATTCACATGCAGAACAATCACCGATCATATGCACAGACTGGATGGGGTCTCTGCTGAGTATGTTCATATTTGTGACGGTAGAGTCTGGGTTATAAGCTAGCAGGTTCACACACAATGCCTGGCACACATGCATCTGTAGGAGCCAAGTGGAGAAGCTTGAATTTCACCTATACAGTGTGCAGAAAATAATAGGTTTTCCTGAGACAAGCTGAAATTGTCTCTAGGAATTTCCCCTTCTTTTGTGACATCAGGATTTCCCAGAGATACCACCCAACAGACTCAGCTAAGTAAGCTTTGCTTCGCTAAGAGGCAAAAGCTTGGTCTTATCTCTAAATAAAATAAATGGAAGACAACCATTCCAAGAAGGAAATTGGAGATTTAGAATACTTTGTGCTATGACAACAAGGAGAGTATAGTAGGGGACAGGAAGGGCATAAGACAATGAGTCCTAAAACACCCTAAAACTAACAGAACTGTGCTTTAAAAGCTTGCCATCAGAAACTAGTGGGAGACTGAAGGAGAACATTCCAAGGTCCTAGTGTTAAAAAACTAAAGGTACATGTGCTCTGAAAAAAATAGCAGAAACTAAAACTAAAATAAAGTTTAATCTTAAATACTTACACATGCATGATACTTTCTCACAAATTTTGAAGCTGCCCCAGATTCCTCTCACCAGAGCAGGCTCTGGAAAAGAATCAACAGAGATGTAAATACTAAATGAAAGAATAACACCTTGATTAAGCTTAGGCCCGTCAGTCTGACTTGGTTCCACATATTTAAATAGCCTGCTGAAGTCACTTTGGAATGTCTGCAACCAATCATTTTCTCCAGTTAGGAACAAAGCTAGGAATGGTAATAAGAATGCAAAACAAGCAAAAGTCATTTAAAATAAGGTAGCTCAAGAGTCATAGGGTTTTACAAGCAGCTATTGAGTCAGAGAATAATTTTCCTATCCATTCCTTTCTGGTGATTTGCTCTTACCCTCATCTTTGTATCTCCTTTTTGGCAACACATGCAAATCAGATGCAGGGGTGTGGTAGGTGAGAAGGCCTCTGGTCTGAGGAAGAGGACCCCGAGGCCTAGACAAAGCACTGATACAAGCCCTGTGAGTCTGAACATAAATTCTTTAGGAGTAAAGACAGAAGGTGGCTTCACGTCCTCTACATGTCTTTGCTAGGGCTGCCATATACTAAGTACTACAAATGAGGAGGTGTAAGCAACAGAAATGTATGTTCTTGGGGTTCTGGAGCAGAACAAATTGTAGGTTGGGTTGATTTCTCCTGCAGTTTCTGTCCTTGAGGTACAGATGGCCACTTTCTCCTTGGGCCCTTGCATGGTCTTCCTTCTGTGTGAGAGTAGGTCCTAATCTCCTCTTCTTATAAAGACACCAATCACATTGGCTTAGGGACCACCCAAATGACCTCTTTTTACCATCAGTACCTTTTAAAAGACTTTATCCCCCAATGTAATCATATTATGAAGTACTGGGGGTTACTATCTCAAACATATGAATTTTAGATATGTCACGATTCAGCCCTTAACAGTTGAGTTTTCACTTTTTCTAAAGATGGAACTGTTGAGATTGTGGCCACTGAAACTCTTCTTTAGCTCCATGAGAATGCCTAGGCTTTCGTTTTGCAAGGAAACCTTCACCTCTGCCTTACTATGTCATCAAGACTAATCCTATATATTGGCTATGTTCTTTCAGGTTACAGGAAAGAGAATTGTACTTGGATTCCTTAAAATCATTGTTGTTTTGTTTTTTCATAAGGCTGCAAAGGGAGGTAAGGAAGCCTAGATCTCAACCACCTCCAGGAAAGCTTGTTAACATATTAAACATAATGAACATAGTTCAAGATATCTTGAAGCTCTGAGTATCTGGTTATCTTTTTTAGAAAAGAAATTCATTTTTCTCTGCTCTTTATGACCTCAGGTGACAATGTAGCCCTTTTTGTCTTGGCCTCTACTGCTTCTGCTGCTACCTGGTCTCACTAACATGTTTAAGTTCCAACTCCTTGACAAGGAGGATGCATGGATTAGTCAATCAGCAATCACTTCACACTGTCCCTATTGCATAAAGTTCTTCTATCAGGCCACACCATTGGTCATTAACCTTGGGATAGGTGGTTCTGTTACATGTCTGTCTCTGGTCTTATCAGAGTGCTGATGAAGCCACTTGGTTCTCAGTAAGGTGACTGATGGTCA